GGCGGCGGCAGCGTCGGCATCGGCGTCGGCCTCGTCGTCTTTGTCGTCGTCTTTGTCGTCGGCGTCGTCGGCGGTGGCGGCGGTGGCGGGCATCGGCGTCGTCGTCGGCGTCGTCGGCGTTGTGGCGCTGCGCTGAAGGCCTGGATGTGCCCCAGGGTCCGCAGGGACGGCTCCTCGCTGCCGTTCCGCCTCGCCGGGGGGCCGGCGGCCCCCGGGGCGGCGGAGGGCGACGGCCTGCCGGGGGGCTCGAATACTCTAGGCCTCTTTCTCCTCCTCCTCCTCCTCCTTCTCCACCCCATCTCCTCCCTTCTCCCTCTCTCGGCCATGAGGTCATCTTGACTTGGTCATCTTCTCTCCCTCCTCCTCCTCGTTCTCCTCCGCCTCCGTTTCCTCTATCTCATCTCATCTCATCTCATCTCATCTCATCTCATCTTATCTCATCTCATCTCATCTCATCTCATCTCATCTCATCTCATCTCATCTCATCTCATCTCATCTCATCTCATCTCATCTCATCTCATCTCATCTCATCTCAACTCATCTCATCTCATCTCATCTCATTTCATCTCATCTCATCTGATCTCACCATTATCAATCTCATCTCATATCATCTTATTTCATATCATCTCATCTCATCTCATCTCATCTCATCTCATCTCATCTCATCTCATCTCATCTCATCTCATCTCATCTCACCTCACCTCACCTCATTACATCTCATCTCATCTCATCCCATCTCATCTCATCCCATCTCATCGCATCTCCTTCTCCTCCTTTACCTTTTCCTCCTCCATCCCATCTCCTCCCTCTCCTCCTCCCCCTCCATCTCCATCTCCTCCTCCTCCTTCTCTTCTCCCTCCTCCTCCATCCCCTCCATCTCTTCTCTTTTCTTCGATTATCTTCTCTTATCTTTCCTTCCCTTCCCTTCTCTTCTCTTCTCTTCTCTGCTCTGCTCAACTCAGTTTTTCTCTTCTCTTCTCTTCTCTTCTTCCCTCTCCTCTCCTCTCCTCTCCTCTCCTCTCCTCTCCTCTCCTCTCCTCTCCTCTCCTCTCCTCTCCTCTCCTCTCCTCTCCTCTCCTCTCCTCTCTCTTCTCTCCTCTCTCTTCTCTCCTCTCTCCTCTCCGCTCTCCTCTCCTCCTTCCTCTCCTCTCCTCTCCTCTCCTCTCCCTTCTCCTCTCCTCTCCTCTCCTCTCACTCTCTCTCCTCTCTCCTCTCTCCTTTCTCCTCTCCTCTCCTCTCCTCTGCTCTCCTCTCCTCTCCTCTCCCCCTCTTCCTCTCCTCTCCTCTGCCTTCTGCTCTCCTTCCCTCTCTCCTCTCCTCTCCTCTCCTCTCCTCTCCTTCTCCTTCCTCTCCTCTCCCTCCTCTCCTCTCCTCTCCTCTCCTCTCCTTCTCTCTCCTCTCCTCTCTCTCCTCTCTCTACTTCCTCTCCTCCTCTCCTCGAAGCTCGAAGCTCGATGCTGCGGACTGTGTCACCACCTTCCTCCTCCACCGCCTCCTCCTCTCCTTCCCCTCTCCTCCGCCTCCTCCTCCTTCTCCTCCTCATCCTTCATCCTCCTCCTCCTCCTCCTCCTCCTCCTCCTCCTCCTCCTCCTCCTCCTCCTCCTCCCCTCCCGGCGCCGCTGCACTCCGACGACTACCATCCAGGCCTATCAGGTGGGGTCCGAGCAGATGGGGTCGGTGGATCGCGCCGCATCGCCGATGCATCGCCGATGCGGCTCGATGTAGAGCCTGTTCCTCTCCACGCCGTCGGCGCCGATACATCGTCGACGTCACCTGTGCGGCGCGATCCTCCGACCCCAGTTGCTGGGACCCCGTGCAGGAGGCCTCCAGGGATTCCAGGCCGCCGGAACGGGGCGATGCCGCTCGGGGGGGGGCGCCGGCTCCGGGGGCGGCCCGGGGCGTGCGAGGGGGGGGGGTGGAGGGGAGGTCTGCTTCTGGGCCTCCCAGGTGGGGTCGGAGCAGGTTCAGGAGGGGAAAAACACACAGACACAATTAATCGTCGACTCCCAGGAAAATATGGGAAAATATGGGAAATGGGGGGAAGACAAAAACCTAGAAAATATTAAAAGATATGGGGAATCCAGTTATTTGTGTGTATTTATTTGTGTGTCCCAGGCCCCCTTCACAGGCGGGGTCGGAGGATCACGCCGCATCGCCGATGCATCGCCGATGCGGCTCGATGTCGAGCCCGATATGCTTCGCGTCGACGTCGCCGGTGCATCGCCGACGTCGACGTTGCATGGCCGGTGCATCGCCGATACATCGCCGACGTATCGGCGATGCGGCGCGATCCTCCGACCCCACCTGCTCCGACACCATCTGGGAGGTCCCTACTGCTGCCACACTTTCGAAGGAAAGCTCGAGGAGGTGCGCCCCATGGGGGTTTCAGGGAGCGCGTCGGGGTCGCATCGGAGTCGTCATGGGGCTGCCTTGTCTTAAGTCGGGCATGTCCCTCTACAAGGGGAATATTCCCAAATAGTCCAAAAATAGTATGGGGACAATGTTTCGACTATCTTTGATTCTTTCTTGGTATTCTTTGAAGGCTCTTTTACTTTTCGTCAAAATTTCGCCTGTAGGAGGACATGCCCGACCTAAGCCTGGTCATGTGACCATCGCCTTGCAACGGCGCTCTCCCCTACCTTCCCTGTCCAGCGTTGCGTCGAAGCCCCCGTCATGCGGCAGCGGCCCCGTCACGAGCCAGCTCTGGATAAGGGAGGGGGGGCGGCGGAATCGATCCGTGAAGTACCCATCGGTCGTGGAAGGTACACATTGTTCGCTTCTAATACTTCGAAAGTTCTTGGATTTTTTTGGGGCCATGATCCTTTCACTTCCAATTGTTCTATCCTGGGCCTCTTCCTGGCCACTAGGGGGCCAGGAATAATTAGAAACGAGCACAATTAGAAATTATTACAATTAGAAATGAACGAAGTGTAGGTATTTTTGGAGTCCCAGATCCCAATCTACTTTAAGAGCCTTCCTACTTCAATGATCGGCTGGCTTCCCCTCTTTCCTCCTCTTCGGGGGGCGGGCGGAGATCCAATCTGCTTCCAACGCCTTCCGACTTCATGCTCCTACCTGCTTCTTCCGACCGATGGTGGTACGGTGGGTGGACAAAAAGTGTCCACACCCATGGCGTCAATATGATACGACATCGAACTGCTTCGAACAAATATCTATAGCCCCCGCCCCCCCCCAGCCCAAAGTTGACGGGGTTGGGTGCGAGGCATCGCGCGGGGGACAAAATGTGGACACTTCAACTTTGGGTTTGGGGGTGAGGGGGGCGAGCCATGTGTACATTGCAATTGTCCTTGCCATCATGCCTGATTATCTTCGCGCCGTCGGCGTGGACATTTTTTGTCCGGTGGGCACTTTTTGTCCGGGCACCCTAGTTCTTCTGGAAGGTGGCATTCCTCGACCCCTCCGCAGATCTCTGACGTGTTTTTTTTTTACATCGAAGACTGATAGGTTTCTAGTGGGGTCAAAAGAGAGCATCATGACTCCTCAGGGGGGTCGGGGCGGGACCCGGGGCGGGACCCGGCGCGGCTGCCGTCGAAGCCCAAATCGCTTGGGACATCCTCGCAAAATCGTTCTTGGCGCTGCTAGAACTCCATTCCCGGCGTACATTTTGGATGCCCGGAGCCAACTGTAGGCCACTTCGTGCTCTTCGACTTCCCAGAATTCCATTCCCGGCGTACATTTTGGGTGCACAGAGCCAACTGTAGGCCACTTCGTGGTCTTCGAGTTCCCAGAACTCCATTCCCGGCGTACATTTTGGATGCCCGGAGCCAACTGTAGGCCACTTCGTGGTCTTCGAGTTTCCAGAACTCCATTCCCGGGCCACATTTTGGGTGCCCGGAGCCAACTGTAGGCCACTTCGTGGTCTTCGAGTTCCCAGAACTCCACTCCCGGGCCACATTTTGGATGTCCGGAGCCAACTGTAGGCCACTTCGTCTTCTTCGAGCTCCCAGAACTTCATTCCTGGGCATGATTTTGAATGCCCGGAGCCAACTGTAGGCCACTTCGTGTTCTTCGAGTTCCCAGAACTCCATTCCCGGGCCACATTTTGAATGCTGAGGCAGGCTGATGCTGAGGCTGAGGCAGGCTGAGGATGAGGCAGGCTGAGGCTGAGGCCGAGGCTGAAGGCAGACTGAGGCTGAGGCTGAAGCAGGCTGAGGCTGAGGCTGAGGCAGGCTGAGGCTGAGGCTGAGGCAGGCTGATGCTGAGGCAGGCTGAGGCTGAGGCTGAGGCTGATGCAGGCTGAGGCTGAGGCAGCTGAGGCTGAGGCCGAGGCTGAAGGCAGACTGAGGCTGAGGCTGAAGCAGGCTGAGGCTGAGGCTGAGGCAGGCTGAGGCTGAGGCAGGCTGAGGCTGAGGCTGAGGCAGGCTGAGGCTGAGGCTGTGACTGTGACTGCCGTTGCCACTGCGACTGTCATCGCGAATGCGACTACGACTGCGAGAACAGCAGAATCCTACAATTGGATTCTCATCTGAATCGTAAGGGGAATGCTTCCAGATATGCTCCTACACATCGTTGTTAGGTTGCTTTGCCGGGATATTTTTTTGTTTTCAGTCCATGCTCTTTTCCTAGATTTTTCGGCCTCTGGGGCACGTTATTGGGCCCCGGGACCATCAAGAATGGATCTGGGCGAAGCATTGTTCGCGGGGGGAGGGGTTGGGACCTTCGAAGGCCGCGCATCGAAACAACCGTGTGGGTTTATGATGTTCCAATCTATTTTAGCCTTCATCGCCAGAAGGAATTTCGAGCACCAGGGAAGTACCGAAACTGGCGGGTTCTCACGTGTCGGGCCCTGGGAGGCGATGCTCGTTCGACACTGTTTCGATACTCTTCTGGGTGCTCGAAGATACTGTTGGGATGTGGTCCCAAGCACGATGGGAGCAACAGAAGTGAGTGTGGGTACGAAGGCTGCAGGCCGCCCAAGCGGAGTCGAAGCACATGGTGTCGGCGGATGGCGCCGCATCTCTGGTGCATCGGCGATGCGGCTGGGCTCGAGAACAGCGGGGACCCATGCCCTGAAGCACCTTGCTTGCCGCCAGGTGCCCCTGGGTTTCTTGGGCTTCGATGGCTTGGCCATGGAAAGCGTGACGCTCCCACACCAAACATCAGTGGACGTCCTGGGGTCTTAGGGTTGGGTTTCTTGTGGAAGGTTTCTTGTGTACTGGCCTCCACTGTTGGAGATCGACTGCAGAATTGATTTGCCCCGAACATGAAATGTTCGTCGCATCTTCCCAAGATATGTAGAACGTTTGCAGGTACACGAACATTCTACGCATGTTGCAAGTATTCGACGAGGAAGTTCACGCTGGGGCAAGTCAATGCTGAAGTCGATGCCCTACTCGATAGATGCGGAGCTTGATTTTCTCCACGCCGACGTCGGCGATGCATCGTCGATGCATCGGCGATGCATCAGCGATTCGGTGCGATTCTCCGGCCCCATCCACTCGGACCCCCTCTCGGAGGGACGGGGCCCCGAGGGACCCAGACGTCGCCGTGGAGCGAGGGGGGGCCTGAGGGAGACGGGCCCTGAGGAGTTCCGCCGTGTTCGGGCTCCCCTCGGCGGCGAGCGGGGGGGGGAAGTGAGAAGGAGAAGGCCTTCTCGGAAGGCGGCGCGGCTTCTCAGAAGCCCTCGCGCCTTCTGAGAAGTCTTTGGCGCCTTCGGGGAAGGCTCAGAATACTTCTCAGAAGGCCAGGGGGACCTCCAGCCTTCTGAGAAGGCCTTCTCCTTCTCACATTCCCCCCGGGGCTCGCCGCCGAGTCAAAAGACGGCTCGGGATGAATCTTTTCTTCTGGGTCCAGGACCCGCTTCCCCGAGGAACCACTTGCTTTTCGCCGAAGACATCCAACGTTTTGGGAGCTGCAGCGCAGCAGGACTTCGAAGCGTCGGCGCCATTCTCGCACGCTTTCATAGGTTTCTGGAGGTTTTCCAGCCTCCCGGATGCTTTCCGGCAGCGGCGCCTCGTCGAGAGCGCTCTGGGGGTGCACGGATCGTGCCGAACGGCCGCTGGGGATCCGAGGCATGACCCGAAAAACCAGACATCCAACGGCTTAAACAACTCAGCGTGGAGTCGTTTCGCCTTCTCGGCCCCCCGGAGGTGGTGTCCGTGTTCCCGGGGCCGTCAACCAGCGGCTCGGGATGAAGCAGCTGGCCCTGGGGAAGGGCTCGGGACCTCAGGGCCCGCATCGAAAAACAGATGGCACGATGTCGGGTGCCTGGGGATAGGAAGTCCGCGGACGACCTGTGTGCACCGTGTACCGCGCTGGCGTCTCCCGAAGCGTCGTCGATTCTCGACCCCGGGAAGGGCCCTTCGGACCCTCGGGGCCCTCAGAGCTTTCTGTTGCAGGCCGACGGAGCACTGTGCGCCATACAGCAGGCGGCGACCCCAGTGCGGGCGTTCAAGGCTGAGCGCCGCCAGTGGCCCGGAGTCGGCCGATGGCGAACGATCTGCCCTGTCGGGCAGCCGCGACCGGTCCAGGCTGAGCGATGCACGGAGCGCCAGGCCCAGACCTGCGACGTCCTGATTACTTCAGGACGGCGCCCCTGGAAGTCCCGACCCTTTCCCTGGGGCCGGCTTTTCGTCCTGAGTTTTTCTTGACGGTCCCGGTGTCCGGCGAGGGCTCCCCGAGGCCGAAACTGGCGAAAAACCTCCCGTCCTGACTTTTTCACGACGCGATCATGTCTGGGGAGAACCACGCCGACGTCATCGCGATGCGAACCTGCAGTGCCGCGTGGGAGCGGGGCCTTGGAAGGGGGAGTGCAAGCACTATGCGGTGTATATGGGCGCCGCTCTCGAAGGTTAATTAGTGCTTCGAGGCTGACTCTCTGCACTGCTCCAGGCGGGAGGAGGCGGGAGGAGGAGGAGGCGGAGGAGGCGGGGGTGAGGAGGAGGAGGGAGGAGGATGATGATGATGATGATGATGATGAGGAGGAGGAGGAGGAGGGAGGGGAGAGGAGGAGGAGGAGGAGGAGGAGAGGGAGGGGGATTCTGGAGGGAGGAGGAGGAAGGAGGAGGAGGAGGAGGAGGAGGAGGAGGAGGAGGAGGAGGAGGAGGAGGAGAGAGGGAGCAGGAGCAGGAGCAGGAGCAGGAGCAGGGATGGATGGATGGATGGATGGATGGAGGGAGGGAGGGAGGGAGGGAGGGATGGGCCCCGCGGCCGAGCCCAGAGGCGTGCCAGCCGCCCTGGCCGCCCGCGCGATCCACACCAGCTTCGAGAGCCGCGCCAAGGGCGTGCTGGTCTCCGGGGGGGGGGGGAAAGCCTTAAGTCGGGCATGTCCCTCTACAGGAGGAAGATTCAAAACTAGTCAAACAATTGTTTTGGGACGATGTTTCGACTATTTTTCATATTGCGGATCATGTCGTGACTATCCGTATTGGATCATTTCGTGACTATTCGTTTTTTGTCCAAGATCTGCCTGTAGGAGGACATGCCCGACCTAAGGGAAGCCTCGAGGAAGGGCTCTCTGTCTCATCGCCTCTTTTGAGGGCAGATCTGCCTTCAAAAAAGGTGGCCTGCTTCGTAAGTCAAAGAAGGCACATGTACCCATTATAACGCTGCCATCGCCTTGTTTTCCTGTTTGTGGGCCACCTGGGAGGCCCTCATCGACTCCGCTGGATTCGCCTCGAAGTTCTGGTCAGGACGCACTTCAGGAGAGGTCCTGGGAGTAGCGGTATCGGTGCTTTTCGGCTTCCCCAAGAGGAGACCTGCTCCGTCAGATCGCTGCTTTTGAAGGCAGGCCTGCATTCGAGAGAGTTGGCCTGCTTTGTGAAAGCCTCTGTTTTGAGGCCAGGTCTGCCTTCAGAAGAGCTTATGTGCTCTGCAAGGGCGCCTGCTTTGAGGGCCCTGGCCGATCTGCCTCGAGCAGAACACTTCTGCTCTGCCAGAACGCTTTTTGACGGCAGGTCTGCCTGCGAGAAGCGCTCTTACAGAGGGCCAGGGTCTTCATAGTCTCCGGCACCTCTGGTGGCCGCTCCTGGGTCTTCTTGGGGGCCTGCGGACATCGATCTGGGCGAGGAACTTGGCCAGGATGGGGACGGGGAGGGGTCCAGGGATCAGTCCAGTCACGCGCAGGGGAGGAAGGGGGAGGGGGGAGGCTTCTTATAAGCATCCCTGCTTCCTAGAACGCGCGGGCCTTGTCGGTAGATGTAGGGTCGGCGCCTTCTAAGAGGCGGCCTCTTTCCAAGAAGCCTTCCCCCTCCCCCCACCCCCTTGTGCGCGCCGCCAAGAGGGGTCCGGGGATCATCGGTCTTGAGAGGAGCACGGTCGGGAGATCCAGAGGAGAACTGCTTCTCCTCCTCCTCCCTCCTCCTCCTCCTCTTCCTTCTCCTCCTCCTCCTCCTCCTCCTCCCCCTCCTCCTCGGACGTACCGATGCCGCTGCACTGCCCTCGTTCTCGATTCGTCTTGGTCATCCCCTGAGGGTGCCCTCGTCGTCACTGCTGGGCCCGCCTTGGGATCCTGGTCAGAACGCACCCTGGCAGAGGCCTGGCCAGTCGCGCCAGGCAGGCCTGGGATGACCTGAACGCTCCCCAGACATGACCTCGTCGTACAAACAAAATCAGGGCGGGAGGTTTTTGGCCAAGTTCGGCCTCGAGGGGTCCTCACCGGGCCCCAGGACCGTCAAAACACGACTCAGGACGAATAACCAGGCCCGGGGAAAAGGTCTGGACTCCTGGGGACGCCGTCCTGAAGAATCAGGCGTCGCATGTCTGGCTCTGAGAGCTTCATGGAGCGCTCTGGAACGGCCACGGCGCCCAGTACATCCATGATACCCGCCAGCTCTCAGAGATTCCCGACTTCTGGTCGGGAGCTTTTGCTCAGCGTGTCGCGATGCCGTTCTGGCCCACCACGCTCCGGCGCGGCACGTCAACCATTTCCCAGTCCCCAGGTGTCAACGTCCCGAGCATTTCCCAGCCTCCCACCCCGCGGAGAGGAGCGACACGCTATCCGCTTGCACGGCATAGCGTGTCGCCAGGGCTAACGCCGCGACACGCTGCAGAAGATCCCCATCCGAATTTGGCCTCATCCTGCCTGCGTTCTATCGCGGTATCGGTACCTTTTTTCCTCCCGAGGCTTACCAGCCTGGAGCACATCTCTGTCCATAGGATTGGCATCGCCCCGTGTCGATGCCGCTCTCAGGGCTTTCCTCCGTTTCTGAGGGCGCACCCCTCGGACCGTCATCGCCTCTTGGCTCCTCAATCTTTGGGGTCAGGGATGGGCTCGAGGCTGGCCAGAGGTCTGGAAGTTCGAGGACCTGGAGGCCCTGGGGCCCGCCGAGGCCGGGCCGGGCGCCAAGGAGCGCGCGAGGGCCGCGGGCAAGATGCAGAAGCGGGCGGCGCACGCCCTGCTGCAGGAGGGCGAGGTGGTGGAGTTCACGCTGGGCTGACGCCCGAGATCCGGGGGGGGCGTCGGCCGCCAGGCCTGACCCCTTCGAGTCATGCGGGGATCGGCTGCAGAACAGGTTTGCCCCCGCACATGTGTTTTTTCTCGCCGAATCTGCGACAAGGGCGTAGACTGCTCCGTAGACCTACGGACCATTTTTAGTTCTTTGTTGGCGGGGAGCTCTACGAACACTCCATTTTTGGGCAAATCAATTCTGTCGTCGATCCCCTACTCGAAATATCGGGGGACGTCGGTCGACCACCTCACCCCTGAGGTCTTGGCGCCGCAGCTTTTCCACAACGGCTGATTTCTTGGTCTGTTTCGGGCCCTTTGGGACCATCACCCGTCGATCGGGCTCGAGAGATGCCGCAGAAAGATGGGGCCTGGTGCTCTGGTCGTGACGTCGGGTCTGGACGTGGTCCATCCTGTGGGCCCAGGAGGAGGCGGAGGAGGAGGAGGAGGAGGGAGGAGGAGGAGGAGGAGGAGGAGGAGGAGGAGGAGGAGGAGGAGGAGGAGGAGGAGGAGGAGGAGGAGCAGGAGCAGGAGCAGGAGCAGGAGCAGGAGCAGGAGCAGGAGCAGGAGCAGGAGCAGGGATGGATGGAGGGAGGGAGGGAGGGAGGGAGGGAGGGAGGTAGGGAGGAGGAGGAGGAGGAGGAGGAGGAGGAGGAGGAGGAGGAGGGTGGGCGCATGCGCCCTCCGCGGCCCCAAAGCCAGAAGGGGCGTGCAGCGCCGGTCCTGGGCACTGGGGTGGGGCCAGGGCCGGGAGCGCTGTGAGGTGGTCGGCGGCCCTCGCCCGAGGGCGGGCGCGCCCGCGCCTCTGCTGCCGTCTCGGCAGGGCCGCGGCCGGGCTCCGACAGGGGCGCACCACCTCCGAGCAGGGGGTCGGCTGCCGGGCCTTCCGGATTGAAATCGGGCGTGTCCCTCTACAGAAGGAGCATGCCAACATAGGCAAAAAATATAATCAGTGGGCGGTTTCCTGACGATGTTTGGCTATCTCTGTTTTTTTTTTTTTTTGATTATTTTCAGTTTGTCTCTCCAAAATCCGACTGTAGGGGGGGGCATGCCCGACCTAGTTCTAGGTCTCCCAGATGGGGTCCGAGTAGATGGGGTCGGAAGATCGCGCCGCATCGCCGATGCATTGCCGATGCGGCTCGATGTAGGGCCTGATTTGCTTCACGTCGACGTCGACGTCGCCGATGCGTCGCCGACGTCGCCAGTGCATTGCCGGTGCATCGCCGATGCATCTCCGATGTATCGGCGATGCGACACGATCCTCCGACGCCATCTACTCCGACCCCATCTAGGAGGCCTCTACGACTGCAGAACTGATTAGCAGTCAACCCTGCGTAGTAAGGGTGGGCAACCTTCCCAAGGGTGCTCTTGCATTCTTGCCTCCTCGGTCCATCCTTGGCCACTTTCGTCGGCCGCGCCCCGCTCGAACTGCTTTGAGATGGGCTTCCAGGGCCCTTGCATCATTTTCGCGCATCCTTATGATACGGGCCGACTGTTGGGGATCGACTGCAGAACTGCTTCACCCCATTATCAAAATTGTATTCGAGTCTATGTAAGGAGAATGCGCAGAACGTGTCTAATAGTGACAATCCTGTATATCTCCGACGAAGACAGTCCTGTTTTGGCAAACGAATTCTGTCGTCGATCCCCTGTTCGAGCGGCGATGTGGGTCAACGGCGATGTTCGGAATCTGGTTTTTGCGGCGCCGAACTCGCGCAGAAAACAGAGTAGGAAAGCACGAAAAACGCTTTCCTGCAATTGAATGGGCCACGAACCGCCCCCACCCGCAATACCGAAACCTACATCGCCGTTACATCCATCGCCATTCGCGTGTCTACGGACCATTTCGAGTAGGGGATCGACTACATAATTACTTTACCCCAGACATGCTCTTCGAGTCTACGAAACATGCGCAGAGCGCATCCAGATATTTTGGCATTCTGCGCATTTGTCCGACGACAGCCGTCGTTTTGTGGTAAGCCGAATTCTGCAGTCGATCCCGCATTCGAAGCATCACCGTCGCTGGCGGCATCTCCTCGCGGAGGGGGGGGGCCTCCAGGGGCCCCTCTTCCCCCCCGAGGGGCCTGGAGGGCAGGTGCCTCCCGCGACAGCGTCGGGCGCCACCCTCCGGACCCTCGGCCGCGGAGGGGGAGCTGCCGCGGGGGCAGGCGCCGGGAGGCCGCCCGTGGCAGGACGTGGGGGGCCCGCGCGGCGCGGCCGGGCGGGCGGGCCGTCCGAGCGCGGACCCGCCTCGAGGCGCGCGGCGCAACACAGCGGGGTCGTCTGCGCCGACATTGGCGCGCGAGCTGCCCGCGTAAGGTCGCGGGCGAGCGCCCTCGCTCCGACGCAGCGGGCCGCGCCGGCGGCCCGCGTACGCCGCCGCGTGAGGTCGCTGCGCCACCGCGCGCAGAGCCCGTTTTGGATCGTCGCCCAGGTGTCGGGAAGGAGAGGGAAGGGGCGTGGGGGTCCTGGGGCGGGGGGGGGGGGGGGCGTGCAGACTCTTGGGTGCCCGCTGCCCCAGGAGTGCCCCACTGGCAAGAGCAAGAGCTCGTTCGGGCTCCCCGGTGCGGCGCAGCCAAGCGGCACGCGCGGCGCCTGCGCAGGCCCAGTGAAGTCAAGGCTCTCTCAGCACTTGCAGGGCAAGGCCGCGACACGCCCGGGTTGGCCATGCCACACGTAGACGCCGCGCTACGCCACAGTAAGCCAGGGTAGCCAACTGCTGCGATGTGGCGAGGTCGTGAGTAAGCAGTGGGGCAAGCTGTGGCATAGGGCCCCGAGACGTCTCTCTGGCCTGGCCAAGGGCTCCTGCAACTTTCGGGCCTGGCAAATCACGCGGGGCGCAGGGCCAGATCAAGGGTGATGCGCAGGAGGAGGGAAGAGCTGGACGAGGAGAAGGAGGAGCAGGCGGGCGAACAACCATAACCTCGCGGAATCTCTGTGCGAAGCCGTCGGCCTGCATGCAGAGCTATTGCTTCGCGAGCTCCGAGGGGCAGTCCTTGTTCGAGCGCCAAGCACATCCTTGTGGAAGTCGATCAACGGAGAGGAAGCACGCTGCCAAATTATTTCCAGATGTCTTAAACATGCAAAGACATGTTTTTGAGCACTTGCCGATATTTATGTATGTATTTAAAAGAAACAATTTTGAAGCACATCTGTTATTCAATGATAGGATCGTTAGAGTGTCCATTGTCATGGCATCCACAAACATGTCCCCTGGACCCGGGAGCCTGCGAGAGGGGCGCGCGCCGAGCGGGGCCGAGGGCGAGGGGGGGCGGCCGTTCGGGAGGCAGGGGGCTGATGTGAGGAGCCCCCCGCCTGCTGCAAGAGGCCGCCTCTCCCACCCGCTGGTGTGCCCGGGCTCGGATTGCGCACCGCCCCATTCAGGGCCGCGAGGACGAGTAAGAGGAGAAGTAGAGGAGACGGATGATGATGATGATGATGATGATGATGATGATGATGATGATGATGATGATGATGATGATGATGATGATGATGATGATGATGATGATGATGATGATGATGATGATGCTGATGATGATGATGATGATGATGCTGATGATGCTGATGATGATGATGATGATGATGAGGAGGAGGAGGAGGATGAGGATGATGATGCTGATGATGATGAGGAGGATGATGAGGATGATGATGCTGATGCTGATGCTGCTGCTGCTGATGATGATGATGCTGATTATGATGCTGGTGATGATGCTGATGCTGAAGATGATGATGCTGATGCTGCTGCTGCTGATGATGATGATGATGCTGATGCTGCTGCTGCTGCTGCTGCTGATGATGATGATGATGATGATGATGATGATGATGATGCTGATGAGGACGATGATGATGGGGGAGGAGCGATAACTCCCGCTCCCGCTCCTCGAACGGGCGCGATATGGAGCACGACTTTCTTCTCCCGACGTCGCCGAAGCATCGCCCATGCATCAGCTACGCAGTGCGATCCACGGATCCCATTTGCTTTGTCCCAATGTGGGGGGGCCTCCTCGACATACATTCTTTGTCACTGCGGGAAGCACCTCCTGTTAGGCGAGCGCCCCACGCTTCTGCCATGCAGGCGAGAACCCCGCGTTGAGCATGAACATGGATGTCCCTGTGGAGCGCGAGGATGCAGGCCCAGAGAGTCTGGATACGTGTCCAGCGAGAGCCCCCTTCTGAGAATGAGCCGCTCTTCGTCCATGAAGCCTCAAACGGGAGCCCCAGTTTGAAGAAAGAAGTGCTCTTCATCTTAGTAGCCAGTTTCATTACTTTGCTTCGGGCCGTGATGCTTCAGCAAGCATCCAGTGAGAGCCCCATGTGAACCATTAGCCACCCGCAATCCTTGGGCGACTGTGGCTGGCGCCCTCGCGAGAACCACGTTTTGAAAACCAGCCACCCTCCATTATTGCGTTTAGTTGTTTTTTAGACGAATGTGCGCGGCGCTGAGACGAGAGCCACATGGTGTAAACCACGCGCCCTCAATCCTAGTAGCTGCTGGATGCCTGTATGACGGGTGTGCTTGGCGTTAGGGCAACCGCCACATTTGAAAGCCACTTACCCTCCAGGCTGCTTGAAATCTTCAAGGTGAATGTGCTTGTCGTTACGGCGAGAGCCACATTTTGAAAACGACACGCCTTCAATCAGTGTAACTGTTCGGATCTAATCTCGGGGGTCATAGATACCGTGGAGGTCCCAGGCGAAACGCCCAGACTGCTTCACCGACATTACGGGCATAAGTTGCTTTCATGAAATGCGGATGTAGGAGGAGGTGGTGGAGGAGGAGGAACAGGAGGAAGAGGGGGAGGAGGAGGAGGAGGAGGAGGAGGAGGAGGAGGAGGAGGAGGAGGAGGAGGAGGATGTCACCGACGACAACGACGAGCCGACGACAACGACGACATGTACTGGTACATGTGTCAAATGAGGAGGAGGAGCGGAGGTAGGAGGAGGAGGAGGAGGAGGAGGAGGAGAGGAGGAGGAGGAGGAGGGGGTGGAGGAGGAGGAGGAGGAGACGATGATGAGGAGGAGAGGAGGAGGAGGAGGGGGAGGAG